CCATTACTCGGCCAACGCTGGTTAATATCTGCCAATTAATAATCTGGCATTACAAAAAATACCAGCGTCAAATTAATGTAAGGCAGCCAACTCTCAACCAGAGTACTGTTTGCCATTACTCGGCCAACGCTGGTTAATATCTGCCAATTAGTAATCTGGCATTATAAAAAATACCAGCGTCAAATTAATGTGAGGCAGCCAACTCTCAACCAGAATACTGTTCGCCAGTACTTGGCCAACGCTGGTTAAGATCTAGCAATTGATAAACTGGCATTATAAAAAATACCAACGTCAAACTAATGTGAGGCAGCCGACTCTCAACCAGAATATTGTTTGCCAGTACTCGCCCAGCGATTATTTATGTTTTTGTATAATTACAGGATAACAAGAGGAAAACGAAGGTCTGAGAAATGGCAGGTAATAACTTTATGAAGAAATAAATTATTTATTTCACTTTTGTTTCGAATTATGTATTAATATTATATATATATATTGTATATATTTATATATATATTATTTATAATATATAATATTTGTAATATATAATATTTCTAATATATATTTCATGTATATAGTTAATATTAATATTTAATATAATACTTAATATGTAACATAGAACGAGGTAACATAATAATTGTAAGACTTGACAACATTGACGAAATCGTCGCAAATCGATGTCGGAAACAGTGAAATCCGCTTTTTCCTGTCGGCCGGAACGAAATTGACAACTACGTATTTATTGCAGGAATTATCACGAACTTTCAGGTGTTCCTGCGAATGCAAAGTAAAACGGTAAGTAATCGAAAATTTCAATAGTTTATAAATTGTAATGTAACTTGTAAAATCAATGACATAGCTTCTCAGCTACAAATTCCCTGATTAACTATAAGAGCACAGAGTATATCTAAAGGTTTAATGTATCAAGGTTAAGTAATATCGTCGTGTAATTCGAGAAAAGCAACGTATTAAAAAAAATTCAACTTATATTTTCGGTTCCAAATAATTTTATCATATACGCCCTTATTATCGATTAAGCTTACTTTTTGAAATATTATGTACCCTGAGTTTTCCATTTTTCGCATAATATTTTTACAATGTGATAAATGGAGAATTCAGCGTACATAATGTATGAAAGAATAAGGTGAATCGAGAATAAGAGCGTACATGATGACATTACATGGAACCGAAAATATAATTGTAATTTTTTTAATATGTAACTTTTTTCCGAATTACACGACGATACAACTTAATCTTGATAAATTGAACCTTTCGATATACTCTGTGCTGTTATAGTTAATCAGCGAATTTTTCAATGGAAAGCTACAGTATACAGTTTATAATATATAGTCACTAATAATAGTTATAAATATAACACTTTGATGAAATACAATGTTATATATATATAACTATAATCAATGATTATGTACTGCTTTGAAGTAAAAATGTGCTGATTTTTTACTTGAAGAATAAGTATGTAAGAAACACTTACGTCGCTAAACTTTGTCGTTGTTTCCGTCCTCCGTCACGGTCACCAACTCCTGAAAACCAACGACTGAAAATGGTGGAGAGTCTTTTCATTTCATCAGGCGCACCACCTTTCTCTATAAGTATATCTGCAACATATAAAAATATGTGTGTGTTAATCAGAAATCTGTAGGATAAAGTTATCAATACTGGAATACATACATACATACATACATATACAGGGTGTCTCATACTCTTCCCCGGGCATTTTGTGAAGACGTAGAATGGGTTGATGTGAACATAAAAGTCCTATACCGTTTTGCGATATTCGCAATAATTATCGAGATATTAATTGTAGAAAATTTGTGAATGATCATGCAAGATATGATAAATGAGTTATAATAGCGACGACTGTCGTCGTGTTACTTATACTTTAGGTCAAATTGAACAAAAAAGTCCTCTACCATTTTGCAAATAATCACATAGATTTTTAATTATTAATTAAAGAAGATGAGTGCATTATCATGCAAAATCGTGCATATAATCTTCTTTAATTAATAATTAAAAATCTATGTGATTATTTGGGAAATGGTAGAGGACTTCTTTGTTCAATTTCACCTAAAGTATAAGTACACGACGGCAGTCGTCGCTATTATAACTCATTTACCATATTCTGCATGATCATTTACAAATTTTCTACAATTAATATTTCGATAATTATTGTGAATATCGCAAAACGGTATAGGACTTTTATGTTCACATCAACCCATTCTACGTCCTCACAAAATGCCCGGGGGAGAGTATGAGACACCCTGTATATATGTATATACATATGTGTGCGCGTGTTTAAACAATATACCAACCCTTTATACACGAAAAGGTGTGTGTTTTGCTGAAATCCTTCTTTCCAATCCCATTGATGTGCCTGCCGAATGCTGTGTATTCGGCTTGGACTTCTTTACTTATGGTTGCAACCATTAGTTTTTTTACACTGTTCCTTAGACACGTCTCTCCACATATCAGTAGTCTAAATAAATGAATCTGTAAGAAAAAATGATATCGTGCGTATTGAGATAATTTTACAATTATATGTATTATTGCACCAGCTCTTACACGATGGACTTTACCTCTCGATACACTCTAGGCTCTTGAAGTGAATGAATAAATTTTTACTGAAAACAGTTATTACAGACTAATTTGCAATGAACATTTACTCATTCATTTTAAGAACATAAAGTGTATGAAAGGCCAAGTCAATCTTAAATGAGCTTGTACAATGATATTTATAGTAAAATTGTGTATTAATATTGTTGCACTATAAATAAATAAATATATATATTGTTACACTCGCGGGCGCGGAGAGAGACAAGACACACGAATATAGAAATGAACAAGAACTTTATTATAAAGCAACAGCAACGTGATATATAAATTCTCTATTCAAGCCACACGTTTACACCGTTCGCAGGCTATCGAGAGACTCTCTCCTCTCAGCTGTTGTCAACAAGCAAGCCAGACCCACGTAGCAACCGTTGCTACGTATCCCGGCTTGCAATCCGCGGACTTCAGGAGCGATGCGCTCGCAATACCGCGACGCGCTCGCAACAATATATAAGTATGTATGTGCATAATCACCAAAGCTGTTTTCTTATTCGCGGAATCAGCAATAGCTGCCTCAAATTGCAGGAAGTCTTGCATATTTGTTATGGGGAACGTTGTTTCCAACGATGTTCGAATTTCATCAATGTTACGGCTGCCCGCATGTTCGAGACGATTAATCGTAATGGTATTTTTTAAAGCGTCTAGCTTTCTGTCGATGTCATATTGTATGCTTCTCTTTGCACAATTGATCGCTCTTAAAATAACGTCTAACTTTTCCTCCAAGCGGTCCACTTTTTCCTGTAGGACTCCTGAAAGATGGTTTTACTTTATAAATTTCTCTCAAGATACTTGTCCTTAATTTCAGCTGTGCAAGGACCGTCATATGTAAATAGTCGCACATCGTAACTGTAGATTATGTAAGGAATTGCCAATTCTTCAAGTAATATACAATTAAGTTGTACAGATATTTATACACGACGGAACATCGTATAGGTAAAATAAACGACAAATGTATTTAAAAAAGCAATTTTATATATATATATATATTTCAATATGCAAAGATCGCCGCGTTGTGGTAATCCAATACTTGAGGCATACTGATATCGAAACTTCACAACTAGGCGTTATGTTAATATATTCTTGATTGTACATTTCCGATATCGCTATACCTAGAGAATGGAATTATATTCTCAATGCACATTGAGAAAAAAACTATTGGAATCAATTTTTGTACATGAATTTACATACGTAAGTTTCATATATGTGTAATCTATATCAAAAATTTTAATATATATATTTAAAAACCGAAATGCTAATATTCAGCTTCAAGTACGTATCCGAACATTGGTACGTTGGCTCCCTTAATGTGGATGGTACGCATCGTAAAATTAACGGTAAGAGATAACGTATGAAAGCCCGGATATGTACTGATAAAACTGGATATTAGTAACATTTTGGTCTTTTAATACATATTTAATTATTGATATTAAAATACACATATACAAAATGTACGTATGTAAATTCATGGACAAAAATTTATTGCTTACCATATGTGGTTTTCCTTTTTTTTCTCGTCTGCTGATTCTCCTCCTCGCTCCTATCTCCTTCAGTTTCTGTTTCGCTGCGCGCTGGAGTTAGTAATTTATCCATATCACAAAATAAGGGATCAGCGTGTAAATATTGAACGTTATCTAATTCTTCTTGTACGTCACTTTCGCTCAAAAGTGTGGGCATTACGTTTTCTTTTTCCCCCTGATCCGTGCTGCGCACCTCCGCTGTGGCGAACGTCCGCCTCAGTCTTCTTTTGCCTTGTTTCAGATTATCTACGAGCAATTTCTTCTTATTATCACGTCAGATATTTCTCTTTGCGATATAATATATTTCGAAAATAGTATATGTTTACTTACGTGCGTACGCAATTATTTCTATTGAAAAGTATTCCCAGTCTTTTTCCGCTTCTTTTCTTTGTGTAACCCACTGCGGGATTTTTGAATAGTCCCTTGAACCAGGGTATTGGCATCGGGACGTGTTATTTTCCTCCTTAGCTATCCAGCAGGATGGTATCAAATCGATCATATTCCCAGTGAGTTTTCTGGGCAGAAACAATACAATTGTGTAAATATTTTCCATAGCATCTGCCATCTTCTAAAAATAAAAAATACACGTACATAATTGTACATTTATATAAATATATTCTACTGTTAAGAGCATATAAACGTTAATAGTTGTATTTACTTCTTGAGATATACGACATTCCAGTGATCTCTTGGTTAAATCCAAAACATCGAAAGATACCCGTCAGGTAGTACAGATTGCTGTGAACTATAGTTTTATGACGCATTAACGACTGTATGTACTAACAAGTACATACAGTCGTTAATGCGGCATAACAATCATTTGGAAGGCTTAGTAAAAATCAATTACATTTTACCAAAGGATATGTAAAAAGTAAATTGTAAACCCTACAACTTTTGTATTTAACATTTTTTTATACAACAATTTATTTTTTGTTTTTTTGTTTTAGAGATATTCAGGTGTTCCGGTATATAATATTCACCCTGTATAATGTGTAGATGTGTATATGTATATATGTATATATGGAAATGTGATATGTATATAAAAATATATATATGTATGTGTATATGTAAACGTGACATTTTATGTATAAAGAAATGTATATATAAAAATAACAAAATAATAAAATAAATGTAAAAATAAAAAAAAATAAATATATAAATATATATATGGGGGATTTCATATGAAGTGATCAAGCTAAAAAAAATTTTTTTCTCCAATTATGTTTAAACTCGGGGCATTTGTAGCCCTATTAGGTGGTAATATTTGGTAGAAAAATTTTTCCATTTGCTCCAATATTTGAGGAGGGGGAGGGGGTGAAAGTTTTGGGGGCCCGTTTCATTAAACAATTTTTTTCAGATAATTAAATGAATAAAAAAAATTTATGAATATCAGTTTCGATATGTTTTTTTATGCCCTTTCGATTGGTAAAATGCATTTAAAAAAAAAAAAATTTTGATTCAAAAAACTCAAAGTTAAAAATAAAAATGACTTTTTTTGGAAGAAAGACACGATTTTTTTTATTTTTTATTTTTTTAAATGAAAGCTGAGATTTTTTCCTATAAGAACATATAGTTCCGAAAATGGGCCTAGAATGTTAAATTCATGAAAATTAGAGTTTATCTGCTGACTCGAGCGCCGCGGACAAGAGCGCGAGGCTGCAGTTGACTGTCTAGTATAAGGAGGCGAACGTTAACGCTCTCTGCATTTAACAGGGTTGAGACTGTCATTTTGTGAATGCCTGCATTACGCTAACGCATAAATTTGGAAAAAATTTTGAAACTTGAAACCTAAATAAATAAAAATTTATAATTTTTAAAACGTAAAATCCTTGAGAAAGATAAATAGTGTACTTGAGCTGAAAAAGTGAATTTATAATTATATCTGAAGTCGTTAAATACTTACATCCCTTTAAGTAATGTCCTTCAGTTTTCGCTGTTTTCTTTGTCTTTTTTTACTTTTTGGGCAATAATCACTTTTTCAATAAATCTTATTTTAAGTTTTTTTGCAGTTACTTGGACGTCATCCTTTCTACTGTAAAGTATTTCAGTAATATTTGCTCCTATTCCGTCACATGGTCCCTTACCATGAGATGTCGGTTCAAAATGCCATTCATCGAATGAAACCCTTGAGCTGTATTCTGAAGAACAAACTCATAGTTTTCAGCAAAATCACATGATATTATGAATTCATCCATTTTTAAATTTGTCTTCAAGTTTTTGAGGAATAATGCTTCTTGTTTACAAATAAAATCGTGAGTTCTTAACTTGATCAACTGCTCACAAAGTTCATCGGAAAAATCGTTAATATTCAGTGCACGACTGCGCAGATTACTTCGATTTCGCGTGCGCACTGAGTTATGGAATCGGGACGCTCATAGAAAGGTTAGTTTCATAATCGGCTACAAGATGGCGCGAGAAAGATTTACTCGAAAGAAAGACCAAACTCCTACAGCATATAAGAAGCATTCAAAACCCCGACAATTTCATTATAAATTTTTTCTTCAGAACAGCGTTACTTCGAAGGTTTGTAGAATATTTTATATTATTATTATTATATTAGTTTTTGGTTACTATGGAGCCAAAAACTGAGAAAGAAAAAACTATCTGGAATGACAGATGTTCCAATCCTTTTAAGGAAAAAGGCCACAACAAAAGAAATGTACGTCGTGTTTCTGATAATTTGCGTGCAAAATTTCCTACATTATTAGAAGGATCAATGATCTGTAATTCATGTAGAAAAAAGCTCAGCAAACAAAAGGAAATGCCGGAAACTTTAGTTGATAAAGTAGACTCTTTTGATGACATTCCTTTAAATAAAGAGAATGAAAATTTCGAAAATGATAAAATTTCGATTGATGAGAATCACGATGATAATGATAAAATTTTTACACATGATAATTATGATGATAATGATGATGTCAATAAAGATCCGGACTATTCTATTGAAAACGGCATGCAATGCAATGATAAATACCATCTAGCTGGAGTTGAAGTTTTGAACCAAATGAAAGAAAAATTCAATTCTTCGACAAGTAGTGCTGAGAAAACTCTACTTTTAACACTCGCTCCAAAATCTTGGAGTATCCAACAAGTAGTGGATTTTTTTGAAACTTCTCATCGACAAGTACGTAAAGCAAAACAATTAGTTACTGACCATGGCGTCTTGACCCTTCCTAATCCAAAAAAAGGAAACCCTTTGAGTACTGAGACGAAAGATCTCGTAATTAAATTTTATGAGAGTGATGATAATAGTCGCATAATGCCGGGAATGAAAGATTGCGTTTCAGTTCGAATAAATGATAAAAAAGTTCTTGTGCAGAAAAGATTACTTTTGTGTAATTTAAATGAATTATTTGCAGTATTTCAGTCTCAACATGATAAAATTAAAATAGGATTCACAAAATTTACAGAATTGAGACCGAAACATTGCGTTTTGGCAGGGAGTAGTGGTACTCACACGGTATGTGTTTGTGTGTACCATGAAAATGTCAAATTAATGCTAAGAGCCATTAAACTTGGATATTTAACGAATGAGCCACAGACGATTTTAGAAGATTATGGCGATTGCTTAAAGCTGACCATGTGCTCCGATGCAACAACTTCCTGCCATTTAGGTGAATGTAAAAATTGCCCCGGTATCGTTGAAATTCATAAAAATTTAATTCAATCGTTTGAAGATGAGGATTTGCAAGAAATTAAATTCAATTCTTGGATGCAAACCGACAGATGCACATTCAACTCTTTAAACTTGAATATTGACGATTTTGCCGATGAACTTTGTGAGCAATTGATCAAGTTAAGAACTCACGATTTTATTTGTAAACAGCAAGCATTATTCCTCAAAAACTTGAAGACAAATTTGAAAATGGATGAATTCATAATATTATGTGATTTCGCTGAAAACTATAAGTTTGTTCTTCAGAATGCAGCTCAAGGGTTTCATTGGAATAATGACCAAGCTACAATTTTTACAATTGTAATTTACTATGTGAAAGACGGGGACCTGAAACACAAAAGCATGGCCATAATTTCGGACAATTTAAGTCATGATACTGCTGCCGTTTATGAGTACCAGAAGATAATATTAGATTACATAAAAAAGAATATAGCATTTCCCAAAAAGGTATACTATGTTACGGATGGAGCAAGTCAGCATTTTAAAAATAAGAGTAATTTTGCCAATCTCCTAGCTCATAAAGTGGATTTTAAAGTTCCAGCTGAATGGCATTTTGAACCGACTTCTCATGGTAAGGGACCATGTGACGGAATAGGAGCAAATATTAAACGGTATGCGGCAAAATACAGTTTACAATGTTCCCCTGAAAATAGCATCTTAGACCCACTAGCTCTTTTTGTTTGGGCAAAAAAAAATTGCCCAGAAACTGAGATACTTTACAGTAGCAAGGATGACGTCCAAGTAACTGCAAAAAAACTTAAAAAAAGATTTGATGCAGCAGTTACAATTAAGGGAACTTTACAATATCATTCTTTCATTCCGACTGAAGATGGAAGGCTTGAATTGAAAAAATTTTCATCTTCAACGGAAAGTGATTATTGCCCAAAAAGTAAAAAAAGACAAAGAAAACAGCGAAAACTGAAGGACATTACTTAAAGGGATGTAAGTATTTAACGACTTCAGATATAATTATAAATTCACTTTTTCAGCTCAAGTACACTATTTATCTTTCTCAAGGATTTTACGTTTTAAAAATTATAAATTTTTATTTATTTAGGTTTCAAGTTTCAAAATTTTTTCCAAATTTATGCGTTAGCGTAATGCAGGCATTCACAAAATGACAGTCTCAACCCTGTTAAATGCAGAGAGCGTTAACGTTCGCCTCCTTATACTAGACAGTCAACTGCAGCCTCGCGCTCTTGTCCGCGGCGCTCGAGTCAGCAGATAAACTCTAATTTTCATGAATTTAACATTCTAGGCCCATTTTCGGAACTATATGTTCTTATAGGAAAAAATCTCAGCTTTCATTTAAAAAAATAAAAAATAAAAAAAATCGTGTCTTTCTTCCAAAAAAAGTCATTTTTATTTTTAACTTTGAGTTTTTTTGAATCAAAATTTTTTTTTTAGATGCATTTTACCAATCGAAAGGGCATAAAAAAACATATCGAAACTGATATTCATAAATTTTTTTTATTCATTTAATTATCTGAAAAAAATTGTTTAATGAAACGGGCCCCCAAAACTTTCACCCCCTCCCCCTCCTCAAATATTGGAGCAAATGGAAAAATTTTTCTACCAAATATTACCACCTAATAGGGCTACAAATGCCCCGAGTTTATACATAATTGGAGAAAAAATTTTTTTTAGCTTGTTCACTTCATATGAAATCCCCCATATATAAAAAGTTAATAAATAAATAAAGAAATAAATATGTGTAAAAATAAATAAATAAATATATATGTGTAAAAATAAATAAATAAATAAATATATATGTGTAAAAATAAATAAATAGAAATAGACACAAGTAAAAATATGAACTAAGTATACAAAATATATATACAAAAATTAAGGTCTATATTGCGAT